AAAAAAACTCCCTTTACTGTTGGAAATCGAAAATAGTAGCCTAACGGTGCTGCCTGGGCAAAATTTGGAGGTAATATTCTACCCAAAGTATTTCAGGATCCTCACCGGTGCTACAGAGCCTGTTAACTGTGCTGAGCTTCTTTGAACTAATACTTGAGTAAGAAGAAGAGCGGAGCACTTATGGGCCATGATTTTGATTCGTTGTTCAAAACTCAGACCTCAAACCTTTAGGCAGAAAGCTGCCCAGGTAGATAAACCGATTGATCGATCGCATACGCTTGATGCGCCACACATGGGGGAAAATGTACTGTTATGTACTTTATAAGTTCATTATTGTGAACAATGAAGGCGGGTGGGGGGAAAGGGGGACAAATAAAAGAAAGGGGCGGGGGGGGGGGGGGGTTATGAGACGTAGAGAATATTGTACTTAATGTTTAATCAACTTGCCTCTAAACTGTATCTCCTGACAGCCCATGATCAATAATAACTGTAGCGAGTCTACTTTATTACTGCATCACCCGTTACATTGATCCTATGAAAAACATATTCACTAAACTGTTCAGTATATATATGGCTGTTCAAGATTGATAGTTTTGAGACATCTTATAGATGCAAGTTTAATCAAACATTTATGGCAATCATTAAACCTATATCTTTGCTTATAAGCAAGAAATTAACTACCTTTTCACACACGTGCTCCTTTAGGCACTTCGATAACACGTGTGCTATTGACCATAGATAATTTAGAAATACAACTATCTTATGGTATGATGACTAATAAGTTGTTACTGAGAATACACAAGAAGTCAAAACTGTAAGAGAAAATGTTACTTGAAATCAGTGCCGTATTTGAGCATGGGTCGCCGGGGGGGAAAAGGGGAGAGGGGGGGGGGGGTTTAAAATGACTATTAGTAAAAAAGTTTTCTATTAATTTTTTTTTATAGTTGCTAAAAAATATTAGTGATTATTTTATGTTGAAGATTTATTTTTTGCGTCAGAATAATCTATAGATTTTTAACTTGCGCGTTTGTTTTATCAACATCTGGTGGCATTCTTGCACAACTTGATGGAATACTGACACATGATAAGGCAGACGTGGTTAGTGCCTTGTGGGAGAGCGTGTACAGTTCGGAGGAGCAGATGGATCACCACAGTCTGGTGAGATTGATGCAGCGGGGAGTGACGAGAGGTTCTGGCAGATGCTCGAGGCTCAGAGGAAAGGCAAGACGGACGTTTAATCAAAATGCTACTGGCACCATTAGTATTGGAACTCTTCGCTGGCTGCTTGTAGATGGGGACGGAGCGCTTATGGGAATGCCCCGAGTGCTGTGATGTCGGTTCTTGAATCAAATCAAATCAAATGGTGGCATTCTCAAATATACTTCATACGCTTCTTAGTTCAAATTCTGAGCAAGTCTCAATGACCACTAAGATTGATCGAAAAAATATGCTAAAGCTAGCTTCCGAGGCCTAGGAGTGTAGTGTGTTCCATTGAGTCTGTGTGTGCTTTAAATGATGCCATTCAAAAATGCATATCAATGTGAGTAGCACTGGCTGACGCATGAGCCTCACCGTCTGGTGTAGGATTTCTAGGCTTATCTCTTATTTCACTTGCTTTCAATTCTAACTCTCCCATGTGTATCTCAGGGTTAATCTCAAGTTCTCTCATCTGTTTCTCTTTTTGAAATCTTTTTTGTTCTATGTCTATCTTTTGCCATTCAACCTGCTGTTTAATTTTGCCCACTTTTGTTCAACCTGTTAAAATTTTACCATTCTGATACTTTCCTGTCTCTTGTCTTGACCAGGTTCCCGTCCCACTGCACGCAATCATTCAATAGAAACCTGGCCATGTAATCTTAGTTCTGCTCCTCTGACCTTGAGCTCCAATATGTCATTCGTCTGTGGAGACATGATTATAAATCAGTAACTTAATATTTCAGGTCAGATTGTAGTGTGTACAATCTCTTGAATACATTTACCTTTTTTGGGTCATAAAGCTTTTTTCGTGAAATTGATAACTTCAAGATAAAGATCCCATTTTTATTATTAAGGAAAGCCAGTGAACGTCAGATGTGGCTCATGAATGTAATTCTATCTGACTGTCCCATGATATTGTTTAAAATGAAGAAAAGTAATTTATGTTGTGGGACTAGATGGTAGATGGGAATTCACTCGACACACAATGTGGACATACCTGAGAAATCTAGACAGACTTTCCCACAGTTTAATCAGCTCCCAGCTGTGTTCAAAAGAGAAGATGGCAGAACATTCAGGCTTAACCATAATACACAATTACGGTCAGTACAATAATAAATCATAAACATTAATAACCATTTAATGACCATTAATAAGAAAAATCACAAAACATGTATATTAATGAAGTGCCATTGTACCATAGTTAACAAACCTACTAGGAACATAAACGTTAATCTTCAGTGGCACACAAAGCATATGTCGATATGAATATTGTTACCTTACTCATTCACTTGGTCATTGTCTTCACGATAATTGTTTGCCTGGCCGGTTTATGTGGCTTCCTTGAAGTCACCTCAATGCAATAACCAGTAAAATACAATAATAAGTAAAGGACCCTTTTCAACGCATTTAGGTGTACAGGGCATATAAAGCTAAACCTATATTTTATAGACCAGTTGGCACAATATGGATGATGTGGTCAGAATACCGAGTAGCCCTGATCAATTCTCTTCTGACCTTTTTTTTGGCAATCGATCAGATGGGATCATTTCTCAAGGTATAACAAGCCACAACTTTCCTCAGATGTGATTCAGGGTTGTGCACGATAGATATTTGACTGATGTAGGCTGACTAGCTACTGGACGTGTCACAGGTTGCAAGCTCCACTCGTCTCAGATGCAGCAGAATTTTGAGTTCACACTCTCAACACACTGAGCAGGTCATCATCATCATGTAGCAGGTCCTTTGCAAACGTCGCTCTCATCACAGTCTGCCTGAAAGAAACTCGGTCTCTCGCCAGTTCTCCTGCCTCATATACTTTCATACTCAAGGAGTCACTTATATCCTGTGCCCATCTTCGTGTCGGTCGGCCCCTGCCCCTCCTTCCTGGTACCATGCCTTCTGCTTTAGTTTTTTCCAATCCGTTGTGGCGCTTGATATGACCAAAATATTTCAGTTTCCGAGAAAGGATGCTGTTTATTAGCCAATCTTCCTTGATGTTCAGATCTTAAACATGTCAATATTTCTCCTCTTCTTTGTCCAATATATTCTGAGAATCTTTCTATAGCATTTCAGCTCAAAAGCCCCTATTCTCTTTCTTAAGGACTGAGAGATAGTCCACGACTCACATCCGTATGTAGCCACAGGGAAGATGCATGCTCTCAAAATTCTAATTTTTAACTCCTTGCTGGTGCTTAACCATAGACTTTTAAGGCTGTTCAATCTTTGCATTGCCAAGGCCATGCTCCTTTTAATTTCTGTTGAACAGTCTCCATTGCTGTTTATTATAGATCCTAGATATTCAAAGTTTGTGACATTTTCAATTTCTTCAACTTCCATGTTGAGTTTCTTGGGATAGTAATGTGGTAGTTTCCCGTTGCTTTCCACGTCCACATGGCGTTAGACTACGTCCTCAGCCGTCAGCAACCTTTTCGATTGCTAGGGCAAGTGAGTGCCCTGCTCTGTGATGCTCCTGCTAACAGCAGAGGGCACCCCAGTGGTGTCCACTTATCCCGGCGGATACTCGGTCCCCATAGCTGCGTTGGCCACACCGCAGTGTGTTTACCGTCCTCTACCGCGTGGATGGGGTTTTCCCATCACTGAGTCTTGAGACCAGAATGGCTTTCCCAAAACTCTCCAGTACTTACTGAGCAGGTAGTGAACTAGTATTAGGAAAGCCAGCCAGTGGCGGGGTCATCTTTACGCCTTCGACATGCCCGGCGTTTGGTAATACTGGCCATTTGTGTTAACAGTACTCCCCAAGTGGAGTTCAAGTCTGGTCACTCTCTGGTCCTAAAAGATAATGGCTCCAGTCTACATGTGTCTGGTTTTCTACACCCATTAGTTGACTGATCTAAATATAATTACTGTTGGACCCAGCTGCGACTAGAAAGCCCAGCTACTGGGGACCTACATTTTTAAGTGTCGTCTGCAATTTAATTACAAATTTCAGACGCCTTTTTCAACTTCTATTTCTTCCTATCTAAATCATTCTCCTCCTTTCCGGATGACCTTCCGTCTTTTGAACAATCAACTGTAGGATTCCGATTACATCGTGGCAATGCACAGTAATACTATCAATTATTTTTATTACATGATAAATGACCAAAAAAAAAAGGATAAAGTATATTTTCAAATTGTTTGACATTTATCAACAAATACAAAGAAATTGTATAGATAATTTAGATGGTACTTAGCACCCGGCAAATATTTCTCGAGAGAGAGGGGTTCTAACATATATATGCCCAGCGCGCTAGCTCTGTCGTTTAAAACCATCTGCGCGGCGACAGGGTGACGAACTCCTTGTGATCCTGATTCACGCCCGGGAGAAGCCAGAAAAGCCACATCTCTCTCAGATTTACGGTGCCTTTCATGGAATCAAGGCCTACGGGTTGCAATATCCATAGTATGAAGCCACAGGGTTTACAACTAATGGTTTTTGAATATATGAATATATGTGTGTGTGTGAGTGTGGGTGTATATATACACATATATATATATATATATATATATATATATATATATATATATATATATATATATATATATATATATATATATATATATATATATATATATATATATGGGGGTGTAGGAGAGTTCAAATTACATGAGCGTCATTGATTCCGGTACCTATGTTATCTTGAGGTGTGAAAAGAGATTCGTTACTTATGTATGTTAGTGGGTGTGTGAGAAAGAGAGAGAGAGAGAGAGAGAGAGAGAGAGAGAGAGAGAGAGAGATGGAATAAGAGTCTTTGGCAAAATGTTGCTTATTTTTAACATGGATGCATCATCTGTTGTCCTAGGACGAGCACAGAGCAACTAATGTGGTGTATCAAGAGCACCACGTGTCACGTGACAAAAGAGGTAAAGCGGTGGGCCAGAAAGGTGGATTCCGTGGCTGCACTGTTTGGCTAACTGGTTTGTCCGGTGCTGGAAAGACAACTATTTCTTTCGCACTGGAAGAATACCTAGTTAGCCAGGGTATACCAGCCTACTGGTAAGACATGTTCTTTGTTTACTGCACGATCAATGTATTTTCATAACTGGTATAGTAATGTTAGTTGTGTCTGTGGTTTTCAGGATGCTGTAACGCAAGAGGGGGTGAATGTTTGACGTCAGCTCGGCGTAGGCATGGGGACGGTATGGCTCAGAGGTGGAACCTATATCTCTGAATTATACAGAAATAAATAGACGAGGAACCCTTGAGTCTGTGGAAATGCTAAATGTAGGCTATGAATTGGCTGGAATTCATAGAAAGAAGTGGAACATGTCAACATAAATATCAAGTTATGGTTGTGTAGATACTAAGGCTCCAGTACCTGCTTGAATCTCTTCTGGCTCTCCCACTGCTAGACAGTTTGTGAGGAGACATAATTCCCCCCCCCCCTTTTTTTTTAAATACTTTCGGGTCTCAGTTTTTATTATTAAAATTATCTATAGTTATTATGTAATATTAATTATAATTGTAGTTTTATTTTTTACATAAAAGTACCAGTGTTTAATTGAACTGATTTTGACAGGATCAGCCTATATATTTTATTAGTGCCCAGTGTTTCGCTAATAGCTCTGATAATTGTTTAATTTCAGTGTTCATTTACTGAGATCCCAATTCACCTCCCCCTTCCCTTTTTTAAAAACTATTGTTTACTTTGTGTGTGCGTCCGAATGTGTAGGAATCAAATTTGTAGGATTTTATTGAGAAGCAAGAATCATGTGAGTAGTGTTATCTGATTTCCAGGGTAATTTATCGAAAACAGTACTGGCTGTTTTATCCCTTCGAGTTGTTACCTGAAGGTTAATTCCCACAGTCTGGATATCATTCTAGTAAAGGGCTTTAAATGAAAAACTTAAACGTGTGAAAGAAATTACAATAACCATGCCATTGTCTTGTAACATGTCAGTACTGTTGTTACGAATTTCAAGAGAGCCAAGCACGTGACACCATGTACAGAAGACCACGGTGGCGTCATACCGAAAGTTTAAAAATGGCTGCCCAACTTTTGACATGTACCAAAGAGGAGCAGCGCTTTGTCATAACACGATAAATTCTAGATATCTCGTTCAATATCCTAAAAAAGTTAAAAGTAACTCACCCAGCAGTTTTTCAAGCACTATGCTGGTTAACCAGGGTATCTTGTGCGGGTAGGATTAACTAACATCTAGCTGGGATAGAGGGCAAAATAACAGAAAGAACCGTGTCAGGTGGCTCGCTTTATAAATAAGTAAAACATGGAAAGATCGATAAACTGTTTCGGAAATTATTTAATAATCTTTCCTACAAACAATAATATTTATGACCCCTATGATTCTGTTATGCGTACAGGGCAGCTTTAATCTCCATATCAATATTAAGGGAATATGAACGCTTTGTTGTAGTTAAGTCATGTAAGTGTGTAGGTAATTTTTATCTTTACTGTTTCACTCTTCCCCTATTTTTTACTGTAAACTGGCTAGTGTAAATTAACATAGACAGTTGATATATTCTACGTTAGTTCTTTAAAGAGCGGTTTTCTTGTTCTGCTGGAGCTCAAAATAGATTACTGTATCTGTGCCTTTAGACCCAATTCATCTGAATACAGAAAACGCATAATTAGTCATCTTTTCCACTTGTTAGGGGAGAGGGCCTAGTTCTGTTATTCACCCTCCCCCTCCTTTTTTTTCGAAAATGAGGCAGTGGAATCCACACTTCAATGACATAATTTGAAAATGAATTAACTCGAATAATGTGGATGACAGACTGCAAACCTAATGGGGGAGAGGAGGGGGAAAGCAAGTGGGAAACAAAAAAGACGAATACTTAAATATCCTGGCTAGATTGCTAGGGTGCGAAATGAACACCGACCTGGTCCATGATTCTGGGGATCGTGTAAGATGACAGGCAATCACTGGCATTGCTCTACCAGCTTGATACCTAATGATAATTCTTTAACTAATATATATCCTAATGTGAATGTTTGTTTGTAGTCTACATTTGAGCTTTGGTGACGTTATAAATTCTCTGTCGTGCTCTAAACATCGGTGGTCATGAAATACCAGAAATTCGTTATGCTGATGATACAGTATTACTATCAACATCACAAAATGGTTTAGAAAACTTATTAACCTCACTCCAAAGAAATAGTGAAAATCATAACTTATTTTTTAACATAGCAAAAACAAAGATAATGCATACAAACAAAACTGCCATGGAGAAGGAAATATATGTTAATGAGGAAAGATTGGAAGTGGTGGAAAATTTCGAATATCTTGGATCACTGGTTACCAACAATGGTGACACAATGAAAGAAATTAAACGGCGACTGTCAATTGCTCTTCAAAGACTAAAACAACTGAATAAATTATGGAATTGTACAGATAGAATTACAAAGGTCAGATTTTTAAGAGCATGCATCTTTCCCATTGCAACATACGCCTGTGAGACCTGGACACTTACTAAACAAGCGGAACAGCGCATAAATGCATTTGAATATAAATGTTACAGACAGGTTCTAAGAATATCTTGGGTAAAGAAAAGAACAAATGCATCCATACTTCAAGAGCTGAATATTGAAGAGGGTTGGCTAGTAAAGACAATAAAACAAAGAAAATTGAAATATTTTGGTCACTTGAAACGTCATGGAAGTCTAGAGAGAACAATAATGGAGGGGTATATGCCTGGGAAGAGAGGAAGAGGAAGGCCAAGGAGAAGATGGGTGCAGGATGTGGCAGATGATCTCCAGATGGGTGTATCAGACGCAGGACATCTTGCTCATGATAGGAAGGTTTTCCGGAGGGTTGTTATGGCAGCGAGGGACATGCTACTGAATGAATGAATGAATGAATGAATGAGACGGTTGTATCGACTGTTTGTATTTGTATAGATGGTCTTCCTCCAGTATTATAGCCAAGACGTTGATTGTAGACATAAAGTACTAGTTGAGTGGTTTCATTCTCACGTGGTAAAAAGATTGTACCATTTTCTATCACTTTTCAGCTTGGATGGAGACAATGTCCGAAGTGGTCTAAATAAGAACTTGGGTTTCTCCCACGAGGACAGAGAGGAAAATATTCGCAGGATTGCTGAAGTTGCCAAGCTGTTTGCAGATGGTGGCATAGTCTGTATTACTTCCTTTATCAGTCCTTTTAGAGCCGTAAGTATTTTGTTTAGCATTCCAAATGTTATACTATGTTATAGTATTAATTTAGCTTTCTTTTATTATACCCCACAATAAATCAAAGTAATTTTTTAAGTTTCAGGAAATGCAACCCATGTTTAGCAATTACTTAATGCATGGTATTTGTGAATTTTTAACTTCTCCACTGTGCCTTTTTATCGATCAGTGCATTCTCTCTCGCATATTAAGTTAACCTGAATTATTTATTTATATATATATATATATATATATATATATATATATATATATATATATATATATATGCACACACACACATTGTTAGGGCTATAAAGATAATCCTCCCAACCCCTTATCGCTGAATTAAGAATCGACACCATAGCAAAATGGACTTCCCATAGACGCATAATGGACGAACCCATAGACTCCCAGTTTCCCATATCAGTTGTCCTAATGTGTGGATGACGTCTGTTCCAGTAGAATTTCCAACTTTCTACCTATTATTGTGTCTTTTATAATTTCAAAGTAATTCTTTCATGCGCCTTAATTTCGGGTGCACAAGAAACACCTCTTGAGTTGCAGTGAGATACCTTCTGGACTTTTCCACCACGAAACACAGGATCAAAATGTGGAGGACTCACGCATGCTTGAAGATAGGCTCACATCTGAAGCAGCCTTTGCGCCACTTGCTCTTCAGCAAAAAGAGCAACAAACTAAAAACTGGTAATTGATTGTTCCTAAGGGCAGAGATTTTATTGAACTGAGTAGTAGTTTTATGGACATCCACGATTAGAACAGAATCGTGTTGTCAATACCGAAGTCCACGAGCTTTTCAGTTACAATTAACATCGGGCTGATTTACAGATTTACACAGAAGGGTCAATTGTACGAAGACACAAGAGTGGATGGACATTCACAGCACGCTCTGAAGGCCCACTTGTACCGGAAGCCATTGCTGTCTTCTAGGACTGGTAGCAGCATGACGATAAAGGTGATTGATAGTGGTGACACAAGCTTTCAGTTGGCTGCAATCACAGGGCTATTCCCACGTGTGTGTGCTGGGTAATTCTATGAGCATAATCCAGCCGGACGGGGGCAGGCTCTGAACGCAGACAATGGAATGAGTCACACACACAAAAGGACCACAAACGTGCCTTTGGTACATCAGACGTATCGAGTTATACTCATATTTGTAAAGGACAATTAACAATCGATGTGTTATCTGGTCGACATTACATCGGTCTTCTTCACTTCCCATGACATTTCCTGATACCTTTATAAGCTGGAACAACGTGTAAGCAATGTCAGCTGCGTGGATGAGGACTGGAAATTCCGTTTTTGAATTTAAGAACAATGGATTCAAGCTGATCACTTTTTTCATGACAGGATCGAGACAAAGCTCGGGAGCTTCACGAGAACGCTGGACTGAAGTTCTTTGAGTGTTATGTGGACACCCCGATAGAAATTTGTGAGCAGAGAGACGTCAAGGGTCTTTATAAGAAGGCCAGGGCTGGACTCATCAAAGGTCAGTTGTTGGTCACCTTTTCTGATTTAAATTAGTTTTTTTTAAATCATTAGGAATCAAGCAAATACTTCTCACAATTCATTTGTGAGGTTTTCGTTCTTTTTCCTCCTCGTCCTCTTCTTCTTCTTCTTCTTCTTCTTCTTCTTCTTCTTCTTCTTCTTCTTCTTCTTCTTCTTCTTCTTCTTCTTCTTCTTCTTCTTCTTCTTCTTCTTCTTCTTCTTCTTCTTCTTCTTCTTCTTCTTCTTCTTCTTCTTCTTCTTCTTCTTTTTTTTTCTTCTTCTTCTTCTTCTTCTTCTTCTTCTTCTTCTTCTTCTTCTTCTTCTTCTTCTTCTTCTTCTTCTTCTTCTTCTTCTTCTTCTTCTTCTTCTTCTTCTTCTTCTTCTTCTTCTTCTTCTTCTTCTTCTTCTTCTTCTTCTTCTTCTTCTTCTTCTTCTTCTTCTTCTTCCTCTTCTTCTTTTTCTTCTTCTTCTTTTTTCTTCCTCTTCTTCTTCTTCTTCTTCTTCTTCTTCTTCTTCTTCTTCTTCTTCTTCTTCTTCTTCTTCTTCTTCTTCTTCTTCTTCTTCTTCTTCTTCTTTTCTTCTTCTTCTTTTGTTCTTCTTCTTCTTCTTCTTCTTCTTCTTCTTCTTCTTCTTCTTCTTCTTCTTCTTCTTCTTCTTCTTCTTCTTCTTCTTCTTCTTCTTCTTCTTCTTCTTTTTCTTCTTCTTCTTCTTCTTCTTCTTCTTCTTCTTCTTCTCCTTCTTCTTCTTCTTCTTCTTCTTCTTCTTCATCTTCTTCTTCTTCCTCCTCCTCCTCCTCTTCTTCTTCTTCTTCTTCTTCTTCTTCTTCTTCTTCTTCTTCTTCTTCTTCTTATTATTATTATTATTATTATTATTATTATTATTATTATTATTATTACCCTTCTCTATATTTCTTTCTTTCCGTTTTTCATTTTATCGCCCACGTCAGTACATGTCAGGTCTGTGACATCTAACTTCATTTTTGACAAAAGAAGCGTGATTTTTCTTGAAATATGGATTTAACATTTAGTAGAGTTTGGCCTGGGGCCAGCCATATGTATGTTTCTGTGTGTGCGCACGCGCGTGCGTGCGTGTGTGTGTGTGGGTGTGTGTGTGCACGCACGCGCGCGCGTGTGTGTGTGGGTGTGTGTGGGTGTGTGTGTGTGCGTGTGTGCGTGCGCGCGCGTGTGTGTGTGTGGTGCAGTCTGTTGTTTGTGTCCTCTCTTTTAAAGCTACTGGGCAGGAAAGGGGGTGTTTAATATTGTGACAACACTTGAAAATATCACCCATGACTTATAAATTGGCTACAATTTTTTAATTATCATAATTTTAAATCTACGTTCTGCACTGGGCACAAGGCCTCTTCACTCAGTTGCCCTTGTGGATGGTGATGCTTATATGGATGCTTATTTCCTTGTTTGCAAGATATTTAACTGGCAATCAGTTTAGGAGCACGTCAGAAAACTGGCATGTTCAGAAACTTCACAACAGATAACAGAGAAAATAATCTGACACGACGCTATAAAAAAAAAAAAAACATGTATGGAGAAAGAATATATATTTGAATATGAAATGTGTACAAAGTTCAGTAGACTATTTACAGATACACGTTATCAGTAGACTGCCAACATGCTTATCACTGGGTATGACTATATGGTCTGTTGCTTGTCTAGTTCACTCCACCTTTGCCCTTTTGTCTGATATCTGTGACCTTGCTTTTAAACATGACATATATTTCTGATATGGTTCACTTTTATTGCTTGTTCTGACTACGAAATTAGATGAATAAAGAGAAACAGAAAAAAAAAGATGTTATAAAATCGATTACAGAATAATATCAAAGGTTACTATGAGATTGAAATAACTTTATTACACTCCCATTGCTTCAGTGATGTATTTGTGAATTTTACATGATGAGCCCCAGGTCCCTGCCGCTGTGTATCTCGTATCATTGTCTGAAAGCCACGATAAATTTAGGTGTGTTTTTTTTTTCTTTCTTTCTCCAAGCCAACCTCCGCAGACATGAAACTTCAGTACAGTGAGGTTCGTGAATAACGTGCACAAATCTCTAAGCTATATATGTTGCGAAAAAGCGACCTTTTCATATTTGTATTTTAGAGAAAAAAAATATAATCATCATTATTTCCTTTAGTCTCACTTTGAGTACGATTCAGCAGTCAACTCACGCCAAGCCGTTCTGTCTTCTCGTAGAGCTTTCGCCGTGCCTTTTACAGAATATTAATTCGCATCTATAATTCTCTTTGACGGTGTTATAAGTTTCCATTGATCTCTTCTGGGAGTCGCTGTGACGCTGGCGACTAGATTTCCATCTGCGGATCTGAAGGTCGTGGGTTCGAGCCCTGACGGAGCCGGACTTTCCTAGGTCGACCCAGCCTTGAGTGAGTACCAGATCAGGTCCTGGAAAGTAAAGGCAGCTGGCGTGATGCTGACCACATCACCCACCAAATGCGGATTGGTCTATAAAAGTTGAGGTGTAGCTCTATTTTTCCCCAATATGCCTAAAGGCGTGGAAAAGGGACCTTTACTTACTTTACCAACTTATCTTTTCTGTTCCGTAGCTATATTACAATAAGCTTTTTCTCGTTTAGAGTCTATTAAAGCTGTTGTTGTCTTTCTCTCACTTCATGTGCCACTCTGATTTGTTTGAATGGTTAATTATTTTTTCAATAGAACATCCTAGCCACATATCCAACAGTTTAGCCCATAAATGATTGGATCCTCTGGGTGTAATCCAGTGTAGATTTCGCTCAATGTAGCAGATGACAACACCCGTTGAACGCAGGTTTATTTGTTGACTTTTTTGCCTAGTGTTCTCTGGTTTTATTTTTACTTGATGGTTCGTTCAGTCGAGTCATTGTTGCAGATTCAGTCCTCCTGTGATTTCACGCAGTTTTCACACAGAACTCACAGTCTGTTCTTTAATTCTGTTCTCTCCGGTGCGAATGTTTCAATACCAGGGATAGGTTCCAGCCAGGGCCGGATTTACACTTAATGAGATCCAAAGCTGTTCACAGTCCTGAGGCCCCTACTGTTTTTAACTAATCACCAGCTAATCTTAGATAATTTTTAAAATACAACACATTTTTTTAATATATGGAGAATGAAAATATACTGTCTTTAATTTCTAGAAGACGAAACATAAATAATATGTTTTCAGAATTACATACATTATATTATATAATCCTGTAAAGGCTTTCCTGCTGCTACTAAACTACTAAAGGATTGCATAAATCGTATTATGCAGAAGTGTGCGTATACAAGAGTCGTAAACAAAATAATAAACATGTGAACCGTGAGGACATATGCACACAGAAATATACTCGACATTTGCATGTGTACTAACAACATGGAATTGAAGGACAGGAGAAGTGTCCTTAATATTGTGTGTATTCTTATCATCGTCATGTTTTATGGCGAGCGGTGTAGTAGAAAATACACCACTATAAAGATGTAGGTTTTGTCCATGTCAGTATGATTATTCCTGTTTGCCAACCAGCTGGTGTTTCAAAGTTGTTTTACTCCTGTCTCTCCGGCTGCTTATGAGTGTGGTTTGTGTGCGTACGCACGCGAGTGTGTGTGTGTGTGTGCATACGAATGCGTGTGAACATAAAAGAAAAATAAAGCACACAATCAAAACTACCCGTTGCAAGCTTCAAGGTGTCCTACTTACAGTATATTTATTTACTGTTTTGTAAGACGTACAAAGAAAGCAGATAGATACATAAAAGAAAGTAACCGTTTTATTACCCACATATTTGAATCTGTTTAACACATTAATTACAGGTTATAGAAGTCATCAGAGTGTGAGTGCCTTTTTTTGTTGTTGTTGTGTAAAAAAGTAGTGCGATAGCCAAAATCTCCCTAGTTACTCCTTCATCTTTCTATATCCTCTGCATGTCGCTGTTGACACATAAAGCACTCACAAGTGATCTCCATTGCTGCCGGTTTGCTGCTTTTCCGCCCATGGTATCCCATGTCAGTTTACATTCCTTCATTTCCAGTTCTATTGTCCTTCTCTAGGTTTCCTTAGGTCGTCCATGTCTCCTTTTGCCATCTGCTGTCCACCAGAGACAACACTTAGGGTGTTTTGGGAAGAAAAAAGATTCCCTGTCGGGCCGTTGACTTCCTTTCGGCTTCTATCCCCAGCCGTCTTTTCACCAAATATCTAGCAAGCTTTACTTCTTTCCACCGGTTCTATGATTTCACGTGTTCCTGTTTCCGTAACAAAGTATTTTTACGGTAAAAAGGTGTAAACTTTTCGCCCAACACCCAACCTGGAGGTGCAGGGTGCTAGTTAAGTCTGAGTCTTCTTTTCAAGATCTGTTCGGTATAGTTAAACCTGCCAGGGGAACAAGTCCCCAGCCGGCATAGCTCTGAGAGTCATTAGGGTACTCAAGCCATCCCACTACGACAAGGCACCAGCACCATGGGATAGTAGTTACTCCTTGCTGTACTATTATCTATGCACCGTGTTCATCTATCTCATAATGTTCACTCGTTGCCAAACATCCTTAACTTATCATTAATTCACCACAACATGATGCAGAACTAGCCAATCACTAAGCCTGTTCTTTTTCCAACGTTCTTTTGAGAAAGGATCTAAAGGATGTTCACTTCCTGTAGTTCTTGCAGTTGTTGATCATGTTAACCGTTCTCACTTACTTGACGCCATGTGAACACCTGCAAATGTGTTACAGGTTTCACTGGAGTCGATCAGCCATACGAAGAACCCAAGTCCCCAGATGTAGACCTCAAAGCTGGAGAACTTACAGTTGACGAGTGTGTGCAGGAAGTTGTCTCCCTTCTCGCTGATCATGTAGGTGTTGTTTTGTTTGGAATTATGCTTGATGATGGACACAGGATAAAGGTGACTCCTTGAGTATGAAAGTACATGAGGCGAGAAAACTGGCAAGAGACCGAGTTTCTTTCAGGCAGACTGTGATGAGAGCGACGTTCAACAAAGGATCTGCTACAAGATGATGATGATGATGATTGGAAATTTCCTTTCTTCTTTTTATTGTTTTAAAAAGTGACACATAGACGCCTACATTCTTTTTCTTTACATTACCTTTCACTACACCTCCTCTTCCTCCTCCTTCTTCTTCAACAACTGCTACCACTTCTTTATTTTCTTCTGCATCTTACTTTTCACCTGAATCACCACCACCACCACTACTTATGTTGCTGCTATATATTACATATGTTGGGCTGCTGTTAATTACAATTACTAAAAATATCTGATTTTTTCAGTTGAACCATATTCTACAGTTGTAAAGTTCTTTCAGCAATTCTCGGTCCTTTTTGTTTTGGATCAGGTCTACTGGTTATATTTGTTCGTGTTGCTGCAATAAAGACTATCTGACTGACTGACTTTCAACTCTACCAGGACCCCACAATAAGCGACTAACACCCGGTGAGAAAAAGGGCAACCACTCGAATCACCCAGGCACATGTCCCAGAAACCCGTTCAACCCGTAGGTTATATTTGTTCATGTTGCTGCAATAAAGACTATCTGACTGACTGACTTTCAACTCTGCCAGGAACCCACAATAAGCGACCAGCACCCGGTGACACAAAGTGCCACCACTCGAACGAGAATCGCCCAAGCGCATGTCCCAGAAACCCGTTCAACCCGTAGGTTATATTTAGGGCCCCTGACGACAGCCAGCGTGGAGGCTTTACCCCCCCCCATAAAAAAAAAAATCTAGAACAATTTCAATAAAGTCAATGACAGAGTGTGAAACGGATCAAAAGACAAACGTTTAAAAAACATGGTGACAGCTAGATAAATAGAAACCACGTCAATAAAAAGCAATGACGCAGAGTTAAAATAAAGAAGGAAAATTCATTATTTAGGACCAACCTCCCCCCCCCCCCTTTTCCATCCCCCCACCAGCAATCGACGTTGGTTGCTATAATTATCTAAGCTGTGCGTACGGGCATGCGTGCGTGCGGGCATGCGTGCGTGCGCGCGCGCGCGTGTGTGTGTGTGTGTCATTGCAAACACATCAGCGCTGCACTGAAACTTTTCTCAGTAGGTCCTTTATACCATTTCAGTAGCGACTTTCTAAAATAATCTTTCCTGTACAGCAGAACGTGTCTTTTATACCTTTTCAGTAACTACTTTTTAAAATAATCTTTCCTGTACAGCAGAACGTGTCCTTTATACCTTTTCTGTAGCGACTTTCTAAAACAATCTTTCCTGTACAGCAGAACCTGTCCTTTATACCATTTCAGTAGCGACTTTCAAAAATTCGTCATTGGTGAAGTAATATATCATAAAGTTTTCAACCATCGATTGGTTGCTTCAGACTTACACAATATCGTCAACAACCTATATCCTTTTTTAGAACGTCGTACACTCTGACAGACTGCCCTTTGTCGTCTCCCAGTGTTATACTCTGACTAATGTGGTAATTGCAAAGAAACTATTGGTTACAAAAACTTGTTTTAAAATTAGGAGAGGGGTGTGGTGAAGGTTGGATTAGGTGGATATTTGAATCCACTGTAATCGTTAGGAACATTGTATAGTGAGACCTCAATCTCTTCCACGGTAAACTGTTACAATGAAAGTCGTGTTTTCCTTATTTGTTGTTTGTCTTTTCCTTGCACAGAAAATTGTACCACGAGGAACTCTAACGACTGTTCGAGAGCTGTTTGTACCAGAGCATTTACGGGAACAGACCAAAGCTGAGGCTAGCACACTTCCCTCTGTTGAAATTGACCAGGTCAGTTTTTATATATATTTGAATTATGCTTGATGATGGGCACAGGATATAAGTGACTCCTTGAGTATAAAAGTACTTGAGGCGAGAGGCCTAGAGTCCATGCCTCGTGGCATTTGTAATTACATGTGACCACAGCCTTCTGTCTCATAAAGTGTCAATAAATTTATGAAATAAATGTCCTTCCATATCGTGATGGCAATGTGAGTTGAGCTGGGGAAACCGACATCATAGAGCATCAGGACATTCGGCGCTATCTTCACCAGCCAACAAACAGCTCCCGTTCTATTGAATGTTAAACTCTACAGTAACTTTTCTCCTGCCTCTCTACCCCTTCCAGATTTCTAACTGAAACGACGTACTACTGTTTTTCCCTTTTCTCGATATGACCAAGCATTCTGGTGTTAGTTAATTAATTTCTTTCAATACATCTTCATTACGCCTTAAATCTGTTAATGTTATTTTCCCTATTTGTTTAAAAAACCACAACTTTGCAGCTTTCGTGCATATGTTTTACTGACAGCCTGACTGTCCTGGTTCATTGATGTACAATCAGGTCGAGCTCTCTATCGCCTATCAAAATCCTTTTTTTTTTCTTTCTTTATCTCAGTTAATAAAGACTGATTCTATAGAATATTAGTCATTTTACGAAATTATTCTTTTAACTAAACTGTTCTACATTTTAAAATACCTTTAATATTGTACTATACAGTCATCAAGTAAAAAAAAAAAGGTGCCTAATGTTACCGACTTACTTACATAAGATCTTCAGACATGTCCCATTTACTGTGATGTTGATTTTGGGGGCATTTTTACATTGTAGTTATAGTAAAAACATTGGCATATTCCATACACAGATTACAATCTTCTCCCCCCCCCCCCCCCCCAACAAATTTTCCTCTTCGTTTTTCTCATCATCCTCCTTCTCCTTCTTCTTCTTCTTCTTCTTCTTCTTCTTCTTCTTCTTCTTCTTCTTCTTCTTCTTCTTCTTCTGGCAACGAAATTTGGAATGGACTTAGCTCCGTTAATGTGAAGCTGGATGACATCTTAACAAACCGCACACCGTGGAGGTCTTGAAAGCAAGCATCAATGCGGCCATCCAAGCAGTGACACCTGGCGTACTGAGATAGAGCTTTCACAACATGGAATGTCGCATCTAATCCTGCATGGATTCAAATGGTGGCTATTTCCAGCATCGATTATACGTCACCAGACTTCGCATTAAGGGAGGTAAGGTCACTCCAAATTTATGTAGTAGGTTTGTAAATTGTACCCCACTAGAACATCACACAAGCGATAAACATCCGGTGAAACAAAGTGCCACCATGCGGATAAAGATCACCCGTGGAGAGGTCCCGGAAACCCAGTTTAGTCGTTAGGCCATATTTCAGGCCCCCCCGGCAAAAGCCAGGATGGGGCTTCAATATAACTAAAAAATTGTATCACACAAGGGGAAGACAAGATTGATACACTCCAAATTTCGTTGACAGCTTTATTAGTGTCCAAGTTATGAACGAAATTCTGGATTCCGCCCGAGTGAAACACCTGATTTTAGCAACATAAATTAATACTAATTGTGTGAAAATTTTCTTAAGGACAAGTAACTCTAGTTTATAACTGTTTTACTTTTATGTAGCTGCTTTACGTTTTAGGTGGACTTGCAGTGGACTCAAGTACTTGCCGAGGGCTGGGCAACGCCAGTTTCTGGGTTTATGAGAGAGAAAGAATACTTGCAGTCACAACATTTTGGGTGTATGTTTGATGGTGAGTGTGGGGTGGTTTTAATGATGCTTGGCATTCTGCATATCTTTATAAATGGGACTATATAGGGACTATAAATTTGAGACAAAGGTCAGTTTACTAAGCCTTAGGACGGGTATATGGCTTCCTCTTCTTCTTTTTCTTCTTCTTCTTCTTTTTTTTTTCTTCTTCTTCTTTTTCTTTTTCTTCTTCTTCTTCTTCTTCTCTTTCTTCTTCTTCTTTTCTTTCTCTTTTGCTTCATCTTCTCCTCCTCCTCCTCCTTCTAGTACTGCTGCGTCTGCCATTGACTCCACTTTTTTAGCATAGGCAGTCAAATCTTCTTCTCCTCCTCCTTCTTCTTCTTCGTTTTTTCTATGTTTTTCTTCTTCCTCCTCCTCTTCTTCTTCTTCTTCTTCTTCTTCTTCTTCTTCTTCTACTTCTACTTCTTCTTCTTCTTCTTCTTCTTCTTCTTCTTCTTCTTCTTCTTCTTCTTCTTCTTCTTCTTCTTCTTCTTCTTCTTCTTCTTCTTCTTCTTCTTCTTCTTCTTCTTCTCTTCTTCTTCTTCTTTTTTTTTCTTCTTCTTTTTCTTCTTCTTCTTCTTCTTCTTCTTCTTCTTCTTCTTCTTCTTCTTCTTCTTCTTCTTCTTCTTCTTCTTCTTCTTCTTCTTCTTCTTCTTCTTCTTCTTCTTCTTCTTCTGCTTCTTCTTCTTCTAGTGCTGCTGCTTCTGCCTTTGACGCCATTCTTGAGCATAGACTCAATCAGTTCACACCAAACCATTGTACCCGTTATATTCTTATGTATGTCCGTCCTTTATTTAAATAGATCATTACTGTGTGAGGAGAATTGCGCTGCGGGGAGTTAACAGGGAATATGGCCGTTCGCTCAACACTCAAGGAAAGGGCATGACGGATATACAGACAGTATCGGAATTGGAACTCTTCGCTTGCAGCTGAAGAAGAGGGAGCTTTTACGGGGGTGTCCCGTGTGCTGTGGTGTCGATTTCTAATTCTAAGCTCTACATTTTGCCCATTATCTGTCTTCGCTTCTCTCCTTTAGGTGTTTTAGTTCTCCGTCTGTATACTGTAACCCTTTTTATCTATTGAAACGACAAAGTATTATCCGGCTATTCCAGAATGTATTCCATCTAGTTTCATGATCTTTTCTTTAAGTGTTTGTTTATTGTTTGTTTGTTGTTTATTTAACTGATCAGCATCATAGCACACGGTGTAACCCTTAAGTGTTCCTTTCTACTTCTAACTCAAGCCTGAGTCTGAAGAATCTCAGCGCAGTGTGCACGAACTTTGTTTTACCGGCGAGTCCTTCTACGATATTATTCTGTTTCGTCTAATTTGCGCAAACACTAGCTGAGATTTGTATTAACGGATTTAGTTGTTTTTCCTGCTATGATCTGAGCAGCAAGTTAATATTTGTTGACTTCACTATATGACGCTCTAATATGACGTATACAAAAATCCGAACTGTGTGATGTTGTCCACATACTCATAGATTGCTCCGTGGTTTATGAACATATGATCTGGCCGGTTCTGCACCACTTTGTGATGAATTGACGTATAACAAGCTAGACGTTGTAAAGGCCCTCTGGGAGCGAGTGAATAGTGCAGAAGCGCGAATAGATCATTGCGGTCTGAGGAGAATGGCGAGTTACCAGGGGATCTATCCGACGCTCAACCCTCAAGGGAAGGGCGTGACGGGTATATAATCAGATAGTTGCTGGTGCCAGCGGGAATATAATTCTTTTCCTGCTGAAGATGGAGACGGAGCACTTATAAGGGTGTCTCCAGTGCTCTATGATGTCAATTCATAATTCAACATAAAACATTTAAAGATATGATCGAACACCTTATGCCTGATGCATGAAGGCGTGCAAAGGATTCTTTACATGTATTTTGTTTTTATAAATATTGAAAAAAGACTGAGGAATTGAGGACGTCCAGAAGAAATCCTAAGAATAACGCTGATGAGAAAAGCAGAAAGTACTGCACTGCATTCCATCGATGGTATTGAAGTGACTGCACAGAATAACACGGAATTGAGAAACAGACTGCGACCCCTTTGTCACATAATGGTACAACTTGTCAATGAATTAATTAATCAATATCTACAGGTGAAACTTTCGTTTTCAATAGTAAAGCCAAGGACCCTTATAAATCAGTCAGTATCTTTCGAGACAGAAGCCTAAGACTGTTGTATTGGATGTCAGAAAATATCCATCAGAACCCAACCAGACAGAAACATAACACTGTTGTACTGGATGTTAGGAAATAACAATCAGAGCCCAACCAGACAGAAACTTAACACTGTTGTATCAGATGTCTTGAATGTATGTGTGATCATAAATTAATCAATGTATTCTGAAAATGAATGTTATACTATTGATTACAGATAGGATTATATATAAATACATCAGTACATTTTTAACAAGTAGCATTACAATGCTGTTTTCAGCTGGTATAATAGTCAGCACATTTTGAAAAATAACATTACAAGATTATATATATATATATATATATATATATATATATATATATATATATAGAGAGAGAGAGAGAGAGAGAGAGAGAGAGAGAGAGAGAGAGAGAAAGAGAGAGAGAGAGAGAGAGAGATATGTAACATTACAATATTGTTTACGAATGGGATTATTAGTTATGTTGTAAATTTAAAATTGCAGTATTGTTGTTTAGAAAGTCATACTATTTTGGGAGGGGGAAAAAACCCTTTGAAATATTGTTTACAGATGGAATCATAAATCAGTCAGTGCCACTTGTGTTGCCAATCAGAACAGCAGACAAAGAGAGGCTTCAAGGATGTGACGCCTTTACCTTGAAATATGGGGGCAAGGACATCGCCATCTTACGCCGCCCAGAGTTCTATCCTCACAACAAAGAAGAGCGATGTGGACGACAGTTCGGTACTACCAACATTGGTCATCCTTATGTAAAAGTGAGTCACTGCCATGTTGTAGAAAGCATATATAAGCTTTATAGAAGAACAAAAACATTACAATAAACAAACGAAGGACTAGAGGCGATTATCTGTCATCAGCAAACTAATAATGAGAAACAAAACACACAAATGATCTGACTATATAGTGACGACGATCAACAACACACACAAATTAACTTACTATTAACTAACGACGAAAAACAACACACACACATGAACTGACTAAAATGGGTTAAAATGGACGCTAGACAGAGGCGCTGTCGAAGCAGAGGCAAATTTTTTGCTTCTGCCGGACGGTGGCCGAAGTATTTTTGCTCCATTTGTAGACTGGATATAGGTTCGTCGCCCAGCTTCTGAGTTGAATGCATGGCGTGACCCTGTGAGCTGCGGATTGCATTTGGAATGTTTTTTCGACTGTGACCAACGTGGTGTGAATTGGAGATTCAGAAAATGGCGTGATGCCGGTCGTCAATGTTGGCGGTGCCCGGATGTGATTACAATTGATCGCGTGGGCAACTGCTGATCTGTTGGCAACAAGTTCTGCTATCATCAATGATGAACTGAATTTCTAATGTTTTACTGTTTGTGCTAGCACTTCGGATGGCTACCGTATGCTTTAATGCGAGTGTATGCTAGATTTGCTGAGACAGCAGTCTGTCAATCTTTCCACAAGGGACTGTGATAAACATTCTGAGTGTTTTTTCGTTGGCACAGGAGCGGAGCAAAGATGGGGCGACCCGTTTGCTATGAAGCTGAAACTAAGACTACCAGACTACCAGACCAGAACTGACTATAAAGTGACGTAAAGTGACAACGAGAAACAAAACACATGAATTAACTGTCTATAAAGTGACGACAAGAAACAACACACACAAATGAACTGACTATAAAATGACAATGAGAAACAACACACACAAATGAACTGACTATAAAATGACAATGAGAAACAACACACACACAAATGAACTGACTATAAAATAACAATGAGAAACAACACACACACACAAATGAACTGACTATAAAATGACAATGAGAAACAACACACACAATTGAACTGACTATAAAATGACAATGAGAAACAGCACACACAAATGAACTGACTATAAAATGACAATGAGAAACAACACACACACAAATGAACTGACTATAAAATAACAATGAGAATCAACACACACAAATGAACTGACTATAAAATGACAATGAGAATCAACACAAACAAATGAACTGACTATAAAATAACAATGAGAATCAACACAAACAAATGAACTGACTATAAAGGGACAATAAGAAACAACACACGCAAATGAACTGACTATAAAGTAACGACGAGAAACAACACCCACAAATGAACTGACTATAAAATGAGCACATTTGGGACATTCAGCTACTACGTGAAAGCAAATATAACAAAATAATTATTAAGACACAATGATGTAATGCTTATGATACACACCTGAATTGTTGCAAATCGCATACCGAGAGGAGCGGCTGTTCAGGCGGTTAAGAACAATGGACTCCTACTGGGAAAACCTAGGTTCGAATACTCGGTGAGGTGGCGGAATTTTCTGGCAACAAGAGCAAAAGTCCTAATCTGCACAGTCCATAACTGGTACACTAGCTACGCGACTGTAAATTCTCAGGCTCAATGCCCCATTCACCTGTCCTACATCGCCCCATAATTAGTAAATACAGACAGTAAAGACAGTGCACGTATAGAAATATACAGTACAGTGTTCTCTCCCCCCCTCCCCTCCCCCCCCCCCCCCCCCCTTTTTTTTAAAAAAATCCACTCCAAAAGTAATCGCTAGTTAATATTGTCAGCTCCCCGTGTAGGTTCCGGGGCCCTATTATAGGGGAAACAAGAATAGACCCACTGCCTACCCAAAAGCATGTCGCAAGAGTCGACTAACTGGGAGATTCCTTTGAAGTCGGAGTGCATCTGCCTGGGAGGCAGAAAACCAGCAGTCAGATTTGTAAAACGGATGCACACGCAACACTCAGGTTCTGGAACAGGACTGCAGTCTATTTATTGTAAATGGATAAACAACCAAAACTCTCCGCCAGGGCTTACAGCTGGTGAACGCTAAGAAGAAGAAAAAGAAAAATATTGTCAGCGAAAATGACATACTTGGGTCAATGGTTCCCTATAAAATGAAGTGGCAAGAAATGCAGGCCGGATTTCGGGATTTGCAGACCTGTGATGATGTTCAAGACGAAGATGACATGATTGTATTTGAATAAGTGTAGAGTTCTGTACACAAATAAGTGCAGAGTTGTGTACATAAATAAGTGTACATTTTTGTATCTGAAAAATAATAGGGTGGGGGGGGGGGAATAAGCCTATGTATAAACAAGTGCATTTATAAACAAAATTTAATATATTACATAGTCTTATTTTTATGGAAACCTGGTGTATCCTTGGGCAACTTTTGAGACAGTAAATAAACGGAAGTTTTTGTAATGTTGCTGTTTCCAGATGATAATGGAGAGTGGCGACTGGCTTGTTGGTGGCGATCTAGAAGTGCTAGATCGAATAGTGTGGAACGATGGACTTGATGAGTACCGAATGACACCTCAAGAGCTGCGCCTCAAGTTCGGGAATCTAGGTGTAAGTATATTTGCTTTATGATACCTGTATTCTACCTAGGCATTGTGTTGAAAAAGAGGAGGGGAAGGATGGGAAGAGGAGTTTTCTTCTTTTTCTTTTTTTTTTCTTTTCTATTCTCCTGTAATGCCTCGCAGAGTCATGGCAGGAAAAGATGACTAAAAGGGGCCATTCTGATCGCTTTGTACGAAGTAATTTTCAGTGTCTCTGAAATTTTTGAGGTCCACATTCTGCGTGGTCGACCTCTGATTCTGTTACCGTTGTATCTGTATAACATTGCTCTCTGTGATGCCCTGTCTGATGGCAATCTGGTTACGTGGAGAAACCATTCTATTTTTTGTCCACCTATTATTTGTTTGTTTTAGTATCCAGAAGCCATGAGTTTGTTATCCCTTAGGCTCGGTATTATGGATATCGCAACCTTTCAGCACTGATTCCATTGAAAATACCGTAAATCTTGGAGAAATGTGGCTTTTCTGCCTACCCCCGGGAGTGAACTCGGACCACAAGGGGTTCCTCACCCGGTCACCGCGCAATTCGGTTTAGCCAACTACGCTAGAGAGCCAGGCGTTGTCCACCTATAAAGTTCAGTATTGATTCTGTGCCGACTCTCCTCTTGATATCATTGTTCCTTAGTAGATCTTTCCTCGTTACACCTAGCTTAGTACGTATGACACATGAATACCCTAAATTTGCATGAGAAATGTTAAGAACCTGGACTGTCCCTCCCAGTGTGAGTGTCTTGCTGAACCATTAGCTTGCTACATGTTAAAATACCTCTTCATTTATGTGAGGTTTCAGTACATGTCTATCATGTCCTGTGGGATCTTGAGGTGTGTCGGGGGGGGGGGGGGGGTGAGGGCTTTACAACACAATGGCTGAGGGTATAGGACTTTATTACTGGATCAATGGTGAAAAGAACAGATTCAACATAAACGTCATACTAATAACCACAAACCCTTTCCTGTCGACCTGAGTAAATCATTTGACTTTTGAAGTGAATTGAGTTAAGGATCAACAACAACACAGTAAAGGCAGTCCTATAAAGTTCTGTTCCCATCTTCAGCAGTCAAATTGTGGTCTTGGTTTGGATTTCAGTCGCGCTAAGAATGGATGTTGTCAGAATCTTCTTCGCCGATTCATAGTTGTAGAATACTTATAATATAATTATCTTAATCTTCAAGGAAGGGAAAATGGTGGGAAAGGGAAATGGTCATCACCATTATACGATGCCACGATCTTTCTTCAGTTCCTCGGGAACGCAAACATTCCGATTCCTCTGATCAAAATGGATTTCAGATGTAAATTTCTAGAAATATTCAATATCATTTTTATTTTGTGTTTCAACATCCAGGCAGATGCGGTGTTTGCATTCCAGTTAAGAAATCCAGTTCACAATGGCCACGCCTTACTCATGTCAGACACCAAGAAGAAACTTCTCGATAGAGGTTTCAAGACTCCAGTTCTCTTACTCCATCCGCTTGGTAAGTCTGCTTTGTTCTCAGTAACTTAATGTACCCTTGTAGGGTTCAGCGACTTAACGGTAAGCAAAAGCATGTCCCAATGAAGTAATTGATGAAGCGCTTGTTCGACGTCTGTTTTGGGCCTTTTAAGAGAAGGCCTTTAGTGTGGCTTTCAATAATAGAGAGTCGTGGTGTGAAAAACGACTGGGCAATCACCAGGTAAACTTCCCCAAAGCCATTAGTTGAATCATTAAAGCCAACTTCCAATGCGGGGACGATAGAAACAAATTATCTGAGTATCTGTATTTCCCCTTATTCCCCCAACCTCCCCCTTTCCCCCCCCCCCACCCAAACCCATTTATCCCCTCCCAGAATTCGACTTCTGAAGACAGTACGATGATACAGAAAATAAATAGTCGTTTTTCACTTTATCCGGTGCGAGCTTTTATGCATTCAGTCAACTGCCCGCCAAGCTGTTCTAACTTTCGAAAGCATCCTCTATGAAAATGAGTTACATGTTCTCCTGAGGACAAGCCCAGTATTTATTTGCTGTTGTGTGGTTTTATAATATGCAAATGTTACCTTCAGTAGTTTACAAATGTTATGACATTCCTGCTTTTATCAACATCACTATAAACAATTGTGCAATGTTTCAACTGCATCTGATTTCGATCATTGTTTGTTGGTTGTGCGAAAGTGTGCTCATAAACTCTAACTACAAACTCCTACCCCAGCCCTTTCCTCCTGCCCTTAGCCCTATCTCCAGGGCTTTTTCTCGCTGACAAAATGGTGCCTAAAAACAATGGCATTACTGGGTACCGTTGGGTACCAAAAATGAACGTCTGCGCAAGACCCCTATTTATTATCCCTCTCTGCCTCGTTCTGTTTTCATTCTATTTACATCTTCATCTATTTCCACACTATTACCCTTTTATATTATTCTTTCGTTTCTTTATTGCAGTCACTTCAGTTTTATAAATAAATTCTTCTTCTGTCCTGTCTACCTCTCCTTCTTCATCTTCTCCTCTGCTTTTGGAACATGGGCTCTCTCTCAATCAAGTCACGCCAAACGCTTTGCGGATTTACTGATAATGTGTCGAATTTTCAGTTAGTTTTCTATAAGATGAAATAGTGTCACACTAACCTTTATAAGTCGCCTTCTTTGACGTGCAAGTTTGATTACACTATTACAGTTCAGTTATTTTACTTATAAACCCCATAATTTCACGAGTGGCTTTCTATTTACATGTCACAATCTGGTTTTTTATAATTGTTGCTTGCTCATCGTTAGCGAGAAGGATCATTATTGTCAACTGCCTGTCCCAAGGATAGATACAGAAGTAGATGATTAGGCCTGTCTAAACCTTGAAAGGCGTCCGTGGCTTAGGCTTTGCGTGTCCGACTCGTAATTCCAACCTACCGCGATCGAAACCCACTGCCGTCTGCGTGGATTTTTATCATTGTATGGGGCGTCGCAGGTCGACACAGCCCAAAATGGGTAGCAGGATGGCTGTCCTTGGCACGTAAAGACGGCCAGCGTAATGCTGACCACATTACCCACCCAATGCCGTGGTCTGTAAAAAATATGGGACGCTCTTCCCATATGCCCGATGCGTCTAAGGCGTCAAAAGGGAAATTTACTTTTTTTTTTTTTTTAATACCTTGAAACGTTTTGTCAACGAGATAAAAGTAGGCCACACTATGCGTCAGAATTGTTTTGATTTTGTGAATCAGGTGAATTGCTGGTTAAATATACTGTCGTCGAATTGTTGTAAACCCAAGTTTCTCTGTGTATTCTATATTGGTTTAGATATACTGCTGAGGCAGCTATGTTATGGCTCTTCTTGCAGCTCTTGTTGTTGATGTTGTTGTCGAGAAACAATTATTTTAAGCTACTCACTAACAATCATTAGTGTAGAATTTAGGATTACGAATAGATGAAATTATTCTGGACAGATAAGTAGGATCTTATTTCAAAGCAATGTTTGTGAACTATTCATCTAGAACGGGCAAGACATAAGTTATTTTAATCTACCGTCATCAGGAGAATTACAGTGACTCTCTTGTAATCTTGCAGCATTAAAAGGCTACCGTTCTAGATTTATATATTTATATATGCGTATAGGCAGAGGTCATAGCTCTCCATGTCTTGCGGTTCGTTGCCATCTGCTTTATGTCTTGGATGTTTGTTAGGCCCATGGCTGAGCCTTTCCTGATGTTGATTCTACGTAGAGACTGTCTTGGTCTTTTTTTTTTTCCCTTCCGGTGTCCATATGAGGGCTTGATGGAAAAGTCGTGTCTTATCCATTCCTAGTGCATTACCGATGTAGTTCCAGTGGCGCTTTCCATTAAATTTGAAAAACAGTCTTGCTTGGTCTTTTGTCTTATTTACCTTTTTTTTAAAAATAAATTTTTAGCCGTTGCTTTCCAACTCTCGCATCCACAAGATAGCACTGGAATAACACAAGAATTGAAGATTGTAAGTTTTGTGACACACACACACACACACACACACACACACACACACACACATATATATATATATATATATATATATATATATATATATATATATATATATATATATAATGCAAATGTGGGCGTAGGAGTGTACAAGTACACATGTTTATCATGTTTTTTTTATGGTTGTTGACAATTTGTTTGAGAATGCAGACTTGGCTGTCTGCGCCCAGAATACGATGTCTTAACGTTCGTTTTCCAAGGGTCTCATGTTTTTAATGCTACACTAATTGCCACAGGAGGGTGGACTAAAGATGATGATGTGCCACTACCAACCAGAATGAAACAACATGAAGCTATCATTCAAGAGCACATTTTAGACCCATCTTCAACAGTGATTGCGATCTTTCCATCGCCAATGATGTATGCAGGGCCAACAGAGGTTTGTATTTTAGTTCAGTTGAATACTGTAATTTGCAAATAGGCACGCTACCCCACAATAGAAAATATTGGGCTTTTTCTCAACTCTTTCGGTCCGAACCAACGTATAATGTGCGATCAACTACGGCCCATGTGTCCAGATGAAACAGTGGATGATGTGATCTGATGTTATGGTAAACGTTTGAACCGTTTTAAAAAAACATTTAATATAGTATGTTTTATGTTCTTAGTTATATTCTGCCCCCCCCCCCGCCCCAATGACAGTTAGCATGTTTGCTTTATTTAGTGTGGCTAGGCACTCGTTAGGCATCCACTCTGACAGGGCTATGCAAGTGTGGGTTAGTTCGACGTTAGTCTTCCCTAATAGAGTAGGTCCCTTTTACATGCACAAGTTTGTTGGGCTGGTCGACTTTCCTGGATATTACGGGTGTGTCCCGAACTGTTGTTTGGTTTCTGCAATGTCTTGCATTAATGTTTTCATTCCGAGAAAAAGAATGCGAGTGACATAGGTTGCAGCACTCTCTAGGGGTTGTGTCAGACCCAGTTTCTCCATGTTTTAAGAGTGTAAAAAGCGCTGGCGTGCTGAAATATACATCACGTGATATCAGCGGTATTGCGGAACACCCTCGTAACCGTGTGCGAAGGTTACGGGGCTCAGGAACTATCAATCAGAAGTGAGCTAGTGTGTATATGTGCGGGGTTTGGGGAGACTAACGTCAAACTAACCCAAGTAAGTTTACCCAGGGGCCAAATTGTTGGAAAGGGGGATCGTCGCGGGGCAGAGAGCCGAGCTCCAGCATAGAAAGATAATCAATACAATACAACTGGCAGGTGATCCACGGGCCACTTGCACGGGCCGCCAGTTGCTTAGCCTTTACTAAAGATAAAGTTGAAGTTGAGAGGATCGACTTCATTGCACCTGGTTTTATCCCAAATGGCTCAGTCTCTCTCCGCAGAACAGCTAGCTGCCTGCATACAGCGTCGCAAAGAGCAAAACCTCTGTAGCTTTGGCGACTATACGCAGAGATCTCATTAAAAACTGCACTCCTGAACTAAACGGCAGAGAAACGAGCCCACGACCTTTAGAAGTGAAGCAAACGGCTTGACCACTTCGCCACGAAAACCATATAGCCCTTTTTTCAAGTACAAAGAACTCTTCTGACGCTAGTGGGGAATCGAGCATGTGGTGCTAGACCAATAAACTCATCAAAACTTGACATCTTGTGGTCAACATGTCGCCTAAAGTGGGTATCAGGATACGTCCTTGGAGGTAAAGGCGGTCGGTGTGATGACCACCTGACCACACATCGAGTGCCTTTTGGTCTATAGAAATGAGACTAGCGTCATATGCCCGATATGCCAGTGGCGTGATAAAGAATTTTAATTTTCTAAACTAACATAAATATCTGAAATATCGAGCTACAGGACATAGGCACCCAAGAGAAAGAAACAAGTGTTGAGAAAAGAAACTGGGAACAATATCGTATAAAGTCTTGTATAAAGCCAACTGTATCACCTCCCAGTTAGCCCCACTTCTTACACACCCAAATGTCTCTCTTCCAGCAAAACAGTAAATGATTAATAGCATCTTTATCCTTACTTTATGTTATCAGTGCCAAACATTGACGATTAGTAGGGAACTAGAATTTTTTTTTTAAACTACATGTGAAATGCGCTGTCTCCGCAAGGTCGCTTAAAACACAAGAAGAGACAGGGTTAGAACACCAGCATTAGAGTAAAAGTCGGAATAAGACCATTCTAGATTATATTGACAGGTAAAGAGGTGACAAGAGTAGATCATCTGAGAGGAGACAAGAGGAGGACTAAGAAAGAGATGGATAAATGGTGTAGCGGAAACCTGCAAAAAAGATCAATTAATCCCCTATGCGCAGAACAAATACAGAAAACTACGACACTGGGCTACAACCTGCTATTAGTGAGACGACGACGACGACGACGACGACGACGAAGAAGAAGAAGAAGAAGAAGAAGAAGAAGAAGAAGAAGAAGAAGAAGAAGAAGAAGAAGAAGAAGAAGAAGAAGAAGAAGAAGAAGAGAAGAAGAAGAAGAAGAAGAAGAAGAAGAAGAAGAAGAGAAGAAGAAGAAAGAAGAAGAAGAAGAAGAAGAAGAAGAAGAAGAAGAAGAAGAAGAAGAAGAAGAAGAAGAGGAAGAAGAAGAAGAAGAGGAAGAAGAAGATGAAGAAAGAAAGAAGAAGAAGAAGAAGAAGAAGAAGAAGAAGAAGAAGAAGAAGAAGAAGAAGAAGAAGAAGAAGAAGAAGAAGAAGAAGAAGAAGAAGAAGAAGAAGAAGAAGAAGAAAGAAGAAGAAGAAGAAGAGAAGAAGAAGAAGAAGAAGAAGAAGAAGAAGAAGAAGAAGAAGAAGAAGAAGAAGAAGAAGAAGAAGAAGAAGAAGAAGAAGAAGAAGAAGAAGAAGAAGAAGAAGAAGAAGAAGAAGAGAAGAAGAAGAAGAAGAAGAAGAAGAAGAAGAAGAAGAAGAAGAAGAAGAAGAAGAAGAGGAAGAAGAAGAAGAAGAGGAAGAAGAAGATGAAGAAAAAGAAGAAGAAGAAGAAGAAGAAGAAGAAAAGAAAGAAGAAGAAGAAGAAGAAGAAGAAGAAGAAGAAGAAGAAGAAGAAGAAGAAGAAGAAGAAGAAGAAAAGAAGAAGAAGAAGAAGAAGAAGAAGAAGAAGAAGAAGAAGAAGAAGAAGAAGAAGAAGAAGAAGAAGAAGAAGAAGAAGAAGAAGAAGAAGAAGAAGAAGAAGAAGAAGAAGAAGAAGAAGAAGGAAGAAGAAGAAGAAGAAGAAGAAGAAGAAGAAGAAGAAGAAGAAGAAGAAGAAGAAGAAGAAGAAGAAGAAGAAGAAGAAGAAGAAGAAGAAGAAGAAGAAAAGAAGAAGAAGAAGAAGAAGAAGAAGAAGAAGAAGAAGAAGAAGAAGAAGAAGAAGAAGAAGAAGAAGAAGAAGAAGAAGAAGAAGAAGAAGAAGAAGAAGAAGAAGAAGAAGAATTATCTTTACTCCTTTAGCCATTTGCACGTCAAAGGGAGAAGCGAACAAAAAATCATAAATATGCACTGAGCTGGGAAACTCGTGGACTGCTGAAATAAGGACGTACACAGACCAATCTTAATATAAACGTTGTTTGGAGAGGCCAAAGATGCTGGACTAGACCGAATCCTTGTCGTCGAAAGAACTGCACATGATAAAATAGAACCGAAGACTAGACTGTCAGTCTTGTGTGGCGTATACCGGCACAACATCATGATGCTGATAAGGATGATGATAAGGAGGATGGTGGTGGTGAGGATGATAACGATTACTGCGATAAATAGTTTCCGTTATTTTCATTGACCTAAAACACACCAACGTTGTTAAATCCTCAGGTTCAGTGGCACGCTCGCTCTCGGATGGCGGCTGGAGCCAACTTCTACATTGTAGGTAGAGATCCAGCTGGGATGCCTCACCCTGATGGCACCAGGGATCTTTTCGACCCCACTCATGGAGCAAAGGTGGGTCAGCTATTTATATATATCTTCAGTTGGCCAATGCTCCTCGTCTAAAGTCTTTCACTGACTATTAACAAGTAATTTTTACATGTTGAATCTTGAGCGGATTGTTAAAGAAGCTAAGGCTGACTGAACTGTTAAGAATGTTGGGCCCTCATTAGGGATACCTAGGTTCGAATCCTCAGGTGATGGGAAACTTATAAGAGTCAGTGGCAAGTGCACACGTTAAAACGTGTCCTCCTCACACACCCACCACTCCCCCGATCTTATATCGCCGAAAAGTGGTAAATACAGACAGTAAAGATATACTCCTGCCTGGCTGTTTATCCCACAACCCTAATTCACTTTTACACAACAAACATAATTCTTGAACCGTTATTGTCGTGGAGTTGTATCGATGGAAACAATAGCACAGAAAACCAGCCATCTTCAACTTGTAGAACAGGTGTATGATACCTTAGTTTCTTGATGTTATCATTCCAAGTTCTTTTTTTGCCCTCCTTTTTTCCCATTCAACCGCTCGGTTATATTTGTGCCCCTGATGACAGCCGGTGTGGGACTTTAAAATTACCATAAAATAGCAACCCAAATAGTAAGTAAGTAAAGCACCCTTTTCACGCCTTAGGCGCATCGGGTATATAGGAAGAGCGTCCCATATTTTTACAGACCAGTCGGCACTGGGTGGGTAGCTTGGTCAGCATTACGCCGGCCGTCTTTACTTCCCCGGGATAGCCATCCTGATACCCATTTTAGACTGGGTCGACCTGCGACGCCCCATACCATGATAAAAATCCACGCAGCCAGCAGTGGATTTCGATCGCGGTAAGTTGGAATTACGAGTCGGACTCGCAACGCCTTAGCCACGGACGCCGCGCAATCCAAATAGGGTCAACGATAATTTATAATAGTTCTTTTTAACAGCGTTTCTGTTATTTTGTTTTCCTGTTATTGGATTGGCTTAAAATTAGTATAGGGGTATCTCAACAAGAAGAGGGAAAAGAAAACAATCACAGTCTAAATGCTTTAACACTGTTTCAGGAGATGATTAACCTGTATTGTTTAATTCTGTATCAGGTCCTCACAATGGCTCCAGGACTGTCGCAGCTAGAGATTGTACCCTTTCGAGTTGCAGCCTACAACACTCGCAAGAGAGCCATGGATTTCTTCGACCCACAGAAAAAGGAAGACTTTGATTTCATCTCAGGAACCAAAATGCGAAAAATGGCAAGAGAAGGGATTAGCCCCCCTGAAGGTTTCATGTCGCCCAAAGCATGGCAGGTCATGGTAGATTACTATAAGTCGCTACCTGCAATTAAGAGCGGGTAGATCTGGCAATGCAACTTCTATACTGGATACAGGACAACAGTGTCAAAGGAAAATAAATGATTTTACCACAGTATTAGTGCTTCCTAAATTCACAATGATAAAGAAAATTGGAAGTATGTGAATTGTTTTTTACTGTGATGTAAAAATATTTATGCTAATAAATACTTCATTTATTTTTCGGAATGTTACTACAATTACCTCGACATATTTTAACTATATATTTTTTCCTTTTAATTCTTAGAAGAATTACTGTTTTATCTAATGTTTCTTACCTGATAAATTTGATGTCGGCTAACAATTGCTCTATTTCTTTATCCAAAGATGCCATTTAATAGGTGTCTTTAAGAAAACCGACTGGCTGGTAATTAGATCTGGGCGGCATATTATTTTTCAATCCCTTCATTCCAGACAATTTCTAGCATAAGGTCGCGCATCTAACAGGCTTGGTTGCCCTCAAAGCCATGTTGTTTCCTGAAAATTCTGACTTCGTGTAGTAATTCATGACTTAGTTGAACTCGTAGTAGACATGCTATGTGATTCTATTACAGTTACGACAGGTATGTACAGATAATTCTCAAGCCAGCGGAAGGCAGCAATGACTGCCTCCACCTCCATTCTCATTCTAGACTTTGTGGTATCATTTGCCAGGCTTTGTTGCACCAAGCGACACCCATTCGCTTATACTTAAACTCTGACATCGTTTAGTAGAGAGACCCTAACCCTGTTCTGCTTCTGTAAAATTCTAGCATTGTTTAGCAATGCAGGATCCGAGCTAGATTGGTTGCCCAAAATTATGGTCGAGTCGGCCGTAGATTGTTGCTGCTAAGAACACATTCCGTTTTGCTGCTACAGGGAAGTCAACCTTGGACTTTTAGTGTAATTTATCGCCATTCAACTAACATATAAATTACGTATTAAGCAACACAATATGTGCAGGCTGAGAAAATTTGTTATTTATTTATTTATTTATTTATTTACTTCCCGGCTCGCTAGCGCAGTTAGCTAAACTGGATTGCGCGGTGACCGGGTGACCAACTCGGTCCAGGTTCACTCCCGGGGGTAGGCAGAAAAGCCACATTTTCTCCGAGATTTACGGTATTTACAATTGAATCAAAGCCGAAAGGTTACGATATCCATAATACCGAGCCTAAGGGTTAACAACTCATTGCTTCTGGATACTAAAAAAAATTTATTTATTTATTCTGAGCCATTTTTATCAGAGGTATTTTTGTTTACATATTGCTTGTGTAACAAAACAATTTTTTTTTAATTGAGTTTTTTTTTTTTTTTTTTTTTAAAGAAAAAAGAACAGATAACGGAACATTCTCACATCTTCGGCACATGTGTTACAAAGTGTAAGAACCATATTTTCATAAAGCAGTAGTGAGCGTAATGTGGTCACATCCCATTGGTGCTTTTACTTCCCAGAATATTTTAAAGTATCTAGTTTAAGGTGAGATGGCCTATTAGCCCAGGTTAATTTTTAGCAATCAGTCCTATAAATGGAGCTCATGAACACCATGCCGACAGGGCATCGAGCTAGCTGTTGGACAGCGGGGCTTCCAGTCAATAATAACCTAGTACAGTATTGTTCCAGTTCTGATTGTTCAAAGTTAGTAAAGTAAGTAAACATCAGTTTTCACACCTTGGGTGCATCGGGGATATGGTAGGAGCACCCTATATTTTTACAAACTAAATGGCACTAGGTGGGTAATGTGGTCAGCACTTCACCGGCCGTCTTTACTTCCCAATTACATCCAACCTTGTGCCCATTTTTGGCTGGGTCGACCTGCGACGCCCAACACCATGGTAAAAAAAAAAACGAAAAGTTAGTAAAATGTTGCTAAATTACGAGATAAGAATTTTAGCGACATTTTCATTATGATTTTTAGAAAGATTTGTATTGCAGCTCTGTGGCTTGGAGGTTAGTGAAATCGTTTCACAATGCTGTCCTTGGTGAAGTAGGGTTGGGCCCTTTTTATACCATAAGCAAATATAACATACAGTATAGATCAATCGGCACTAGTTGGGTGATATGATCAACATCACGCTGGTTGCCTTTACTTTCCATGATATTTCCTATTAATCTGGGTAGACCTGGCAGCCCTAAACCAGTTATAAATTTCATGACCACTGATGTCTGCTCCACACTGGATCTGTGAGAAACAATAAAAAAAAAAGACTGTTTAAATATACGCATGTATCTAATAATTTCCCTTTTCATATTTACTACACACGCATACATTATTTGTGTTCACATGGGAAATACAATCACTGATTGGAACATAACATTGATGTGTGTTATATCTTCGTATGTTACTGATAACTTTGACTGCGAGTGAGAGAAACAGAATTAGAGTATGTGGGTTCTTTTTCTTCGCGTGACCGGCTGCAAACTTCAGTGGAAAATTATGATTGTTTGTCCGCTTTTAGACTTTCGGCGTGTTCCAGTACTTGAGTTTTGCATGCACATCCGTTTTACAGATCTTGTTTATTTGTATGCAGTTGGTTCCTCTACTCTCTACACACTCCGACTTCGTAAGTAACATCCAGAATTAGTCGATTCTTACGACATGCCTTTTAGTGGCCAGTGAGTCTATTCTTTTCCTCCATAGAATGGGGACCTGCAATCCATGCGGGAAAGTATTGGATGAAAATTAGAAGAAAATTCGAATTTGTAGCAGTCCGCATTCTTAAATGCTGCTATGTGTAATTGTCTTTTACCTGAAGAAATTGATGAAAATGGGAAGATTTCAGGAAATGTGAAGAAGAAAAAGAGAGAAACGTCTGGATAACCATTGATATCCGGAGTAGACGCGACACAGAAAATCACCAGACAGACAAAGATATCTGAAACAAATGATTTGAGAAAACGAGGACAATGATACGAACGTTGACGAGAGAGGTCGAAATTGCTGAACAATTCCTTCCATGACATGGAAAAGATTTCATGGGATAGAATAGAATGAAAGTATGGGAGCACATACTATTAGCACTATGTGGAGTATAAATGACGCAAAAAGATGATGAACTGAATGCATCTTTGTATAGACCTTGTTAATCATGTTTGTCCACAGCCTTCTGTCTCTTACACTGAGTGGTGGGTTACATTATCCTTAGGGCACTTCGGACGCATCAACAAGTGATCCCCCTTTTTTTTTTAAATAAATACATCATAGGCCGCACTGTGCCAGTTGGCACGACTTCTCTTACGTCTGATGTACCTCTTTGTGCCGGTCTTTACTCCCAGTGTGCTCCTACCTCGCAGCGGTTATCGAATATACTGTTAATAATTTTTCTCAAATCAGTGAAATCTATAGAATGAAAGTCTAGTATAGTGATGTCTGCCTGTCAGTCCAGAAAGTGTATGAATGGAGTAGGAAGTTTTACAACGTCTGCCTTCTGTGACAGACTGTTTACGATCCAACGCACAGACTTCCCCATCAATGCCCTCCCGTATCCTCTTCTTCATTGATATCACCACAGTTTCTATTTCTTTTCTTATATCTTCTTCTTTGTTCTGGTTTGTTTTAGGATACTCATCGTTGACCTGGCCTCCAGATATTAGTAACATCCTGTGACAAAGAGGAAAACCAGAGTTAGCAATCACCAAACAACATACCATGTTCACCACCTATTCCTTTTCCTATAGTATTTTAGCTCAGATGCCTGTGATAGGCTTTTAAAGACCCATTAGGTCTGTAACAACCCCAGGATCACCCAGTGGTAGCAGTGAGGTTAGAAAGAAACTATGTTCTTTCTAATGCCATCACTAGTGACAGCTGTAGTCTGCATATGCCAACCTACAGAGGGATAACTCTATTTCCTTCCCATACTAGGGTACTTACACTCACACAAGTATACCACGAATACAAGTGTTTATGTGTGTGTGTGTGTGTGTGTGTATATATATATATATATATATATATATATATATATATATATATATATATATATATATATATATAGAGAGAGAGAGAGAGAGAGCATACTAACCCCAGAAACACGAGACAACGTTTTTACTCTCCCGCAGACGTTGCCATGTTTACATTTTGGGCAGAGCGGACGTGGCGTCATACCTGTATTAAAATTAGCATGACCACAGCTGATACTCATAAATACTGTCTGACCTGCGCTTCCCGATTTTCTCCCTAGTTAAAGGGTGCATATATCTATCAAATGTGAACAAATCATATTATAAAATGGATTCGTAATGCCCAAGCTGTCTGGAACCCATTGAGGGAGTATAAGAAGAGAAGTTTCGTCTGCCTGCAGGGGAAGGCTCTTTTGCAGTTTGAATGGTTTGACAGCCAAGTCCCGTTGCTTCACATAGACACCTCTGTCCTACACTTAGCAGCAGGAACGAATGCTTCAATACTAATAATCTACAGTGTAATTACTCATGCTCATGGACGTTCCCGGGTGAATCGGTGATTCAAACGGAGGTAAGCAGTTAGACAGATAAGGCAGCAAGCCGTCTGCTCAGTCTGGAAGCTCAGTCATAAATTAGTCCCAAATCTAAGCGTCTCTCCAGGTAGAGGGCGGAGGGGATTCATCCGCGTCTAAAGCGGTAATTAAGTCAATGAAATTTTGCTTCACTATAAGTAAATCTCCCACTTATATGGCTGAATTTAAATATATATAATTTCCAAGAGACTTAGGATAGACTTGAGTATTTAACCTGACATCTTGGCAAATAAGTACAAAAGAAGGACTACTATTCACCTATGGAGGAAAGTCCAAGATTTGAAATCATCTCATTGACATGGAGGTGTACAAGATGTGGGCAAGTTCAAGACGAAAGGGACGTGGGCTGTCATGCGACAGCAATAAGTTCTTTTCTTGAATCCGTTTCTTTCAAGACTCCATTACTCTTTTTATCTGTCCAGGGTATTCCCAAAACTTGTTTATAAAACCACATCTCCGCAGCTTCCGGTTACATACTAATACAAAATATGTAATCCTAACGACTGCAATAATTGGAGAGTAATTGCCACATT